TCTATTATCCCTTAAAAACCAATTTGCGCGCAAGGCACCGTCTCTATGCCCAAAATAAGGTGGTGCACACAGGTTGAGATCGTCTGCAACGATGGTCAGACTGTCATAGAAATTATGTATCTTGAGCAAAAAGCGCGATTAAATCATTGTATGCTTTAGGTTACTCACAGGAATTTGTAACATTAGCACCCGAATCATCTTTGATAAGAACTTGCGTGAAAAGTGGACAAACACATCTAGCGATTACGTAGATCCACCACTACGTGCTTCTTTTTCAGACCGTCGAATAATTTCTTTTTTTTATAACTATCTTTGGTAAAGGAAGGTAATATTCTAATTCAATCTACCTTATATTCCTGAGTGTTTCAGATGATATCAGCTTTTTGGGTTTTGGATTTTGAGGTCAGCTAATTTGGCATGCCCTTTTATGTCCCGCAACTATAATAAACCAAGGAACGCAATTCCCTTGGGACAGCAAATATGTCCGCTCGCAGGCGACAGAGCTAGTGCCATAGGTTGAGCGTAAAGTCTTCAGTTTACCTACTCAAGATTCAACTAGTCCGGATGCTTAACTATTTGGCTTGTTGGCTAATGACGCAAAGTAGACCGGAAGTGGCCATTAAAATTCTCCGTTGCCTTTACCCATAATGCCTCTTTATTATTTACGTTTTGACACTATGTGCTTGCTGGTAAAACCTATGGACTGGTATTCCATTAGGTAGTTGAGGTGAATCGGGAGTGCCAAACAGTGGTAGCAAAACGTTTTTATAAGGAAAACATGTGCGCACATCGCGCTTATAGTTTTTTAAACTTCTAGCTTCTGCTTTAGTCCTCCGGGTGCATATTTGCCATAACTGCAAGACCTTAGTTTTGAATTACTGAATTTTTTAATGAATAGATCCCACCCTCTTTATTTAGTACCGTTTAACAATAATGAAAAGATCAGAAGCCACAGTGTTGGACTATCACGCTGAATGCGTATTTTGCTGGTGAAAACCTCTAACTAACAGCTCTACGATACTGATTCGGTAACGAAAAATCGGATTAGGCATATTGTTTCGAACGAAGTATTGCGCTAAAATAAAGGAGCCTCGACTTTCTGACATCGTTCTCCTAAAATGATAAACCGCGCGATTTGGGGTCTAGTTTGATGTACCTTTTTTGAGCAGGCATTTGTCCTGAAAGTAATTAGCTTGCAAATACAAGTATAAAGGGAACTGGAAACTCTAGGAAACGATAAAACGATCAATATACTTCTAAAGGTTGGGCTAACTGGAGAATCTGAATTTAAGAGAGGTCTTGAGTGATAAATATGGCATGGCAAACGTCGTCAGCAACCCTAATGTGAAAACGGAAATACGTTCGACCCATTAACTTTTTTTCAATAGATCACTTCTTTTTCTTGCGGAAATTGAATTATCTACCTTCGCTAAGAATTAATAGGGTAGGGCTGCTTATCAGAAGGACAAATGCCCTGCGAACAATAGCGCACTATATTGCGCTTCTAATCATAAAAATGTCTCTTTGAGTTCCCTGTCTTGATGTACTTTCCAGCTTCCTAAAAAAACCATTGGCATGAGCAGCCTACATCATGCCCCGTGTCCTTGAGAAAAACGCCCGTCGATGAGGTGATATCAAATTGGTTTAATGCACTCATTTTTGGTAACTTTTCTGTCCTTGCTTTTGACAGAACGATGTCTCGTAACTGATAATAATGAAATATAGTTTAAAAAACGTCATTCTGTAAATGCAGTCAAGTCTTTTTTTGATGATGACAGTGTCAACCTTCTGCGAGTTTCTTGACTAGGTTTTCCTGAAAATATCTAGCTCATCTTTATAATTCGCCCTGGTTAAACTGCTTTTTATGGCCTCTGTTCTATCTGTACCTTAGAACCTAGCGTTTTAAATGGTGAGTTGTCTTGACATTGTGCTTCCCCTCCAGTGTAAGCCCCGACGGAGAACATGTAGTTACTCGATATGGCATAAACCCAAATTCACAATCCCTGCTAGAATCGACAGGATATGAGTAGACGTTCTGTAAAGTCCAAGCTATATAAAGATACTGTAGTAGGCATATAGGTAGTCTATAGACGGCAAACTTTACGACATAAAGGCATGGTATGATTTTTACTTTTATTTAATAGCGCTTTATTTAACCCATAGGCTAATCACTTTACCTCATACAGATTGGGAGTGCATACTGGTTGCTGACTTCTTAAAAAACGCACACATGCCGTATTATAGTATTCTATTTACTGGCCGTGGTGTGCATTATTACTAGGATTAGCACTTTAGCATAGGCAAGCACTTCTAGCAGCAGTATCGTAGTTCGAATCTAATAAAAACGGACACAGCCTGATGGATAGAGTTGAGAGGCTGGAAAGCAAGGCAAGCTTTGCTGTGCTCAGGGCCCTAAACTTATTCGGAATAGTGTAAGCCTCCAGCGTTGGCTTTAATATGCGTCAGCTCTGACAACTGGTGGCGTCAGTGTTAGTACCAGTACTACTAACGCGTAGCTATATTGCTAGCCAGTAGTAGTAGAAATATGAGTAGCCGTATCCGTCTCGGCCTTATTAAGCATGTTTTTGGCACCTACTGAAGGTGAGTGAGGGTAGATAGTCGGGTAGTACTCGCGCAAATTCTACTGTCAAGTAACACTAATTTAGTCGGTGTTTTCTGGCTTGCCTTCGAGAACGCGGCCAATGCCGGATCTATGCTTGTCTTCTTGACCCATGATGAAGCTGAAGAATGTGGTTGGCGCTAACTACGTCAGCTATCACTAATCTACCCCTCCAGCTAGTCTACGTCACTTTACCAACCTGTCGGTGCGTATGGTGGACTTCACCGAAATCAGTGGCCGAACACACATCGTGGAAACCAAGGCGTTGGTTTCATCACACACTTGGTTATTTTTGCTTTTTTACATCCTGCGCATAACTAAGGAGACATTGTGAAAAAACTGTGCTTCTTACCTTTGTTTGAGGAGTCGTGTTAAGGTTTGATTTGTTGTCAGTTCTTTCTCCGATTATTGAAATATAGAGGAAAAATCGATACCCAAATATTTTTATTCCAAAATTTCAACAAGTACATTATGACAGTACCTATAATTTACCTTTGTTTGCTATAGAAATGTTATGCTTCAGTTCTAAAAACGTTCCGATTCTCGAATAATTTCGACCTTAGTCAGCCATTAAATTGACATTCAGAGTTAGCATTGTACAAGATAAGTCTTTTTTCGAAGGCATATCACGAGTACTCTATGTCATTAAGAAGACACCATGGAGTGCTCATGCAATGTCAAATGGATCTGCGATGCACCCCATAGTTTGTGAGGGCCATTATTAAACCAAAAAAAAA